GGCCTCCGTTGCCTTCTCTCGTGGAAGCCTCCTCGGATTTGAGCTGTAAGGGTGGACTGACAGTGATTCGAGCTCGGATTCTAGTGATCAGTTGGCTGAGCGGGGCAGCACATGATGTAAACCTCTTTTGCACATAAATCAGGTCGCGAATGTCGTTTTGTCGTTTTTTTGTAGCATTGACGAAGTCCGAGCACGGGCATTCTTAACGTAGCAAAGCTGGCGCTCTTAGGCATTCATAGGGAAGGTAAATTGTACTTGGCATCAACAGCCACTGCTCAAAGCCTCAAGAAGTCGTTGTGACGCCCATTGAGCCTTTTCTTCGTCAAGCATGACGCCGGCTTATATGTGCTTCGCTCCTCTAGCCGTGATGCCATCTCGTGTATGCGTGATTTACTCGCCAAACAGCCTCCTGACCCTCCTCAACACGCTGTCCTTCTCGGGATCGTAGGGGTGGTCTTTGCTGGGGATTTCGAGCACGGTAGGGAAGGCCGCCGTGTACGTGTCAATGCGATGCCTAATCTTGTCGGCAATCTAAACAGAGGTCAGCACCTTCGTAGCGTATTCCGTTGCAGCCATCTCATCTACGCACGTGCTGATTGATCAAAATGATACCAATATCCTTTCGCTCAGTTGTGAAGCTTTCGAATGCGTTCTCGATCGCAGAGGTCTCCGTCTTGCTGTCAACAACGAGGAAGTTCTTCGCCTGATCTGCACCAGTGCTGACGTGCTGGAAAGCCGGGTTAGATATGCGCACGTCGACTTCGAGAGGGCACAGCAGAACGTACCCCGATGCCTGCGAGGAGAAGGCCCGTGACAGAGTCCTGAGTATTGGGTCAGTGGACGACACAGCAGACTGGTGCTGAGCGCAATTCTTACCTCGTCGCCAATGACAGCCAGGAATTGCCTATCCTTGTAATCGGCTTGCGACGCCATATTGAGGGGTTGCTCGTTGGTACGGGACCGAGCGAGGTTGTAGGTGGTGGTTGACGTTGTCGTCCAACGTCAAGTGCCAGGAACAAGAGCAGACAGACTAGACCGAGTCGTCGCCCAGTGGTGGGCTGTACAGCGACAGTCAGCGGATGAGAGCTTTGACCGCCCATGAGCCCAGGCTTGCCAGGCAGCATCCCCTGGCTGGCACCCCACACTGGCGGCGTGGGTGCGGTGCCTTTTGGCTGCTGGCTCCACCTGGACGTCACCCCAGGCTGCACCTTGGGCGGGACAAAGAAATTGAAGCTCCCTGTGTAAACAAAACGTCTGTTCTACACCTCGGAACCCGTCAGCCTCGCCTCCGTCCCGCTTCATCCACGGACGGATACTTGAATCGGTATCTCCCTCGATACGGTCCATGTGAAGCATAGTTCGTCTTGCAAAGCACGAAACATGCCGCGCATGGTCAGGCGCAAGCCTTGGGCCGAAAGGGTCAAGGCGATGCTCAACCCCATGGACTTCCTCCTCTGGGTTTCCGAGGAGCTCGAGACAAGGGACTGGGACTCCAAGGCGCTGGGCACGAAACTCGGCTTGGCCTTCAATTTCATCTTCCTCATCGCTCGAGCTAACTGCGCGGCGTCTGAGGCTCATGACGATGTGTTCAGCGATGGGGTTAGCAGTCGTTTGACCAACTATGTGGTACGCTCCGAACGTTTCCATTCCTTCAAAAAGCTTAGACTAACTTTGAACAGATCCGACCTCTCTCCTGGATCCTTGTTCTCTTATCGGGCGCCAACGCCTTTTACACAATGACACGTTCAAGACACTACCGACTCTTCGAGGTCAACGTCGAGCAAGCACCTCAGACCCCTTCCGCCCACCGTGTCAAGGTTCAGTCTTCGCCAGTTGCTTCGTCGCCTCTCCGCTTCCTGTCCAACTTGATAGTTCCCGAAACAGCCGAATCGAGGGCGCACCCAGATAAGACGAGAGATGTGTGGGAACTGGCCGTATGGGATCCTCTTCCCGTGTCCCTGCAGCTCTTCTCTCTGTTCAGCCCCGGCCACGTCCTCGTCTACATGTTGTTCCTGCCACTCGAAAACCTCGACCCCAGACCGAGCGTCACCGTCTTCAACTGTTTGGCATTGCAAGTCATTCTCAGTGTGCAGATGCTACTTCTCCAGTCACGCTTCTCTCAACAAATCAAGGATACGGCCATCATTCACAAGGAGGTCCTTCACGAATACGACACGAAATTTGTTCACCCTCGTCTGCACCCTTTGGTTCGCGACGTGGGCACGCAAGCCTCGTTTGAGGAAGAAGACGAGGAGGATGGCGAAGGCGACTTCGTCGAAGTGGGCACTCCGACAACTGTTATCAAGAAGGAGTTTCAAACCCATCCGAACCCGAACTACATGCGTCACGTTGATCCTGAGCACACGCCTGCTCGACCTCATCGCAATGTCCAACACAGCGCCGTGGCCTCACGGCTATTCACCCCGTCCAGTCAAGCAAGACGGTCTGGGTCATTTACGCCCGTACCAAGCACACGGTCTCCTTCCCGACAGAGCCTGCCAGCAGGCGTCTCCGCGGCCGCCACTCCCAGCGCCTCAACCACCACGGGAACGCAGTATGGTGGCAACCTTGGCGTCTTCTCGCACGCTAAATCACCCCTGAAGAAGGCCTCAAGCCTCTACGACCTCAGCACGGAATATGCGTCGCCGAGGAACTCGAGGGAGATGGCGGCGCTCGAACAGCGGAGAGCGAGCCCAGTCAAAGACAACCGGCGGCTGACAACGGCCAACGATGGAGACGAAGCCCCGATCAACCCATTTGCTCAGACGCAAAAGAATCGGTTCAGTCAGGAACGTTATCCCAAGATGTGGGCACGTTAGGATGCAGGTTGTATGTCGAAAGAACTGAAAATGCGGGTACATACGAGCATGGACGGCGTTGGGGTTAATCACTTTCAGTCAATTACACAAATTTCCTACCATCATTCTGCTTTTGCGTACCAAGCACTACGTTCTGGACATGCTGCCAACCACCCCGCCAGGGCTGGCGCCCAATATTTCTCCGGGTTTGTGTATGCCTTGCCCACGTTGTCGTGGTGGCGCCCAGTATGGGGTGTCCATTGTTCTTGCCATCGTTGCAACGAGTCACATGCCAGGTAGGTAGTTCGCACACTGCGCCTAACATTTCCTCGTTCAGTCTGCTCACTCTATGAATCTGCTACCAACGCGAGTAATCTCGCCGTTACTGTCATCATCGTCATCATCATCATGGCAGCAGTGTTCGACAGAGTTAGGCGGATTCTCCCGAGCAACCGCCCAGAGAAAGGGGGCACACTGCGTGTGCCGACGCCCATCCCAAGAATTGCACACAGTTCAGACCAGTTGACGAGCTGGAACACCGCGAAGGAATTGCCGACAATCCCATCGCCCCCAGCGCCCGTAACGGACGCTCAGCGAAGAAAAGAGCAACGACGGCAGCTGCGCGAGAGCGGCGATTACCTCGGCGTTCAGGGCATCAACCCGAGCACCGGCGAACTCGACACCATGACATCCTCGAGCGGCTCCCAGGCCAGTTACCTCGATGAAGAGCTACGGCAGAAGCTTCTGGCCGTCAAGAGGCGCGGCTCGCGTGCCTTGCGGGCGCATCGAAAACCTGTGAACGGCTTGACCCCGGATGACCACGCTTCCATATTACAGCGGGAGAGGCAGAAGCTACTGAACGCCGGCAGCAGCAGTACGGACGTCCTGCGGGCGCGAAAGTCGGTGCGCTGGCGCCGAGATCCCGGTCAATGGTCGTCGGTGATCGAGCCAGACCTCAGTCCAATCAGTGGGTCACGTCAGGGGTCAACCACGGACCTGGTGCCAAAACTTGGGCCGTCTGGCGAGGTTCTGGAAACGCGGCGAGATGCTGATCATTCCTCGGATACCGTCATACATACACCCGCGCGAAGACGGTCATCCGTTTTCCCAGTCGATATCGCGCCAATACCCCAAGATCTTCGTGTCGATGACGACAACGAACCCGAAGAGCGAAGGGGTTCGCGCGTCAATTTTGTGGACGCACATCCAACTGTCATTCCTCCAGACTTTCAAAGACCAAGACGGCGTTCGCTTCCTCTACAACTGTCGTCGCATGAATCTCCTCAACCGAGCCTGCAGAGTCCAATGGAGGAGTTGACGCCTGTGAGGGGAGCAATAAAGGATGATTCTCGCGTATGTCTTCACACGCATCACCACCACTACTGGCTTCGACAGGAGGAGGATGAGCTACCCTCCCGTGTGGACACCGAGTATATTGCAGAGCTCAGGGAACCGCTGCACCGCAACACTTACTCGCGGGGCTATGTCAGTCCATTCGCTGAGTGCCACGAATCGATGAAGCCTGGCGCTGTCTACGTCTCGACAGCCACGCAGACGGACATGAACGAGGTGCTTGAGAGAAAGCGCCGACATCGGGTGTCCTTCCGCAGATGACATGCTTAGCTGTATGGATTGGAAAATAACTTTGGAAATTGTTACCTCTGTCAACAAACCTGTCTGTGTAGGATGGCGAAAGGTTATGCGCCACCAAATGATTAGCCTGCCGCAACCCCGGGCACATCCAGCGGAAAGGCTTTGTGAACGATTGCCTGTTTCTACTGTCCAACCTCCGGTCTCGGGCGCCGCCAGTTTCTGATGCTAGCTATTGGCTACCTGTCTGATAATACATCTGCCCGTCTCAGACAGCAAATGAGGGCAACATATGCCTTCAAATCAAGATGCCATGATTCGTCACTGCAAGCACAGTGGAAGACCTTGGGACAGGATTCGAGCCCGACTATTCCACAGCGACATGGCTTTACTTTCACTGATTACCGAATTCGAAGTCTATGGTAGACTAATGGGAACAAGAGTGCTACTTGGCTCCAGCCTCTGGCAGGGAACTCGAGCCATGAGCCTTGCATCGTAGAGGACGTAGTAGAAGAGTCCCGAGTTTCCAACCTCATAAGTTCTTGATTTCTTGATAGCGGCTAGCGAATGGGCAGCACAATGACAAGCAGAGCTCGTTCGGGGGCCCTCCACATGGAGAACGGCTGGTGGCTTGCAGGTGCGGGGCCGGACTGCTTCCTCAGGGGTAAGCTCGAAGTAGTCTGATGACCCGATTACCTAGAGTGAGACAGGCGATGGTTGGGAAGCTCGACAATCATTGAAGCTGCTGAGCGGGCGCAAACAAATATAGAGTCTGTGGTGGTTCGATCCTCAGTGACCAGATAGAGTAAAAGGGATATATCAATAACGAATGCCGTGATACTGTGCTAAATGCTGAATGCTGCCGAGAGATGAAAGCCAGCCAGGACCGGAGCGGAGCACGGTGCCGGTCAATGGCCCCATCGCCTTGATGATCATAGCCTCCCTCATACACGTGAATTCAATACCGACTGGAACCCAGTCGCGGTTGCGACAAGACGTCGCTGCTGTTCCGAAACCGGCCAGCTGGTCGAGGGTTGCCAGACGTCAGCGCGGCGCGGCACGAGGGACAGGGGGGGTGGGTGAGCTACCCCGGAACTGAGCTGACCTCTCCACCAGCCTGTACGGCACCTCTTGGCAGATAAGGCAGGCGGGCAGGTCGAGGACGTCGTAATGTAGCAGTCCAGTTAGCTTCTCGGCCGAGTCAATGGGCGCGATGATCTGCAGCCAGACAGATGGACACATTGTGCAGCTGGCAAACCCCGTGGTCAGCTCCCAGCTCCCAGCTACCTGGGCTGGCTTTACCCCTCGTCTTCCGCCTCGCAACCTGAATACGTATCTCTTTGATTGCTGTCCCTGCAAAGCAGAGGCGGCGAGCGCCGATGTGGTATTATGACTCAACAAACTCAGCTATGGATGCCGTGCCCAAGCCCTCTGATGGTGTCGCTGTCCCACTTGTTTCCATGACCAATATCCAACGGGCAAGTCATCTTGTCACAGTTGTCAGGCCTGGGCATATTCGAAGTGAGGCCCAGGCCGATCGGGGTGGGACCAGCGGAGCGGTAGGGAACCGGGGCTCCGAGGCCGGAGACGGCGCCGATGAGAGATTCACGCAATTGTCCATCGTCGAGTCGGATGTCCCTTCCGTGTCCGTCTGCATGACCCCCCATCCAGTTACATGTAAGCACCTGCCTCACTGTCTCGCTTCTCGCCCTCTGCTCTCAAACGAGACGGGCGGCGATATCTACCGAATGCTACGCTGCATGGTGCGAACGCAGGTGATGATGGATCAGCGGGTCGTCATTCGCAGCTCGTCACGATACACAACGACGGTGGAGCTGCAGGAAACACTGAGTTGGTACCTCCTTTGCAGCACCCTGGCAAGCCTGACAGCCCTGGCTGGAAACCGGACGCCCATGTTGAGCCCGAAGACCGGATCTGCATCTCGACAATGTATGATGAGCGAGGCGCAGGCTTCAGAATGAATGCCGCCGCTAGGGCGGTGACCGAGGTGAGGGAATCCGCCGGGGAGGCGAGCCCCGCAGCGGGCGCTCAAGGCCAATTAGCGGCAGTGATTTGCAAATCCGGCCAGTACCCCGCGTTCCGATCGCGGAGGGCCCTGGCTCGAAACCATCGACTCCGAGCATCGGACCCCTCGTCGACGAGAGGGCTTCCTCACCAACGGAATTTGTCTCGATGTCATGGGCAATGGAGGGGCCGGATCCATTTGGGGGGGGGCCGAGGGACGGGGATTTTGCATTTTGTGCCTGCCTTTTTCAGGAACGATTTGTGACTGTAGATCCAGCTGCGGCAGGCGATATCGTCCCAGACACCCCGAAGCACCTCATTCATTCCTCGCCCCAACATAGCTCCAGCACTTGACTGCCCTCACTCAGTGCTACTACATAACCGGCATTCCCCCGCGCTTGCACCAGTTCGGGCATTATATTCCATCCAAAGCTTCCTTCCATCCATTTCACCTTCCCTCCTCTTCCGCCCGCCGATCGTCCCCTTTCCTCCTCTCCCACCACTCTTCCCCTCCCTTCCTTCTTTCCCTTCCTCATCAACCAAACACCCCTCCTCCTAGTCACACCCAGACTTGGACATTCGGTCCTGCTACCAACCCCTCTCTCAACCATCGGTCAGAACTTCGTTCATCAATTGCCGAAAAAAACCCTATTCAGATTTCCTTGAGGACGATTCCTCCCAAACAAAAAACATGCCCGTCGCCGAAGGTTCACCGCAAACCCTCTACGACAAGGTCCTCCAGGCCCACGTTGTGGACGAGAAGCTGGACGGCACCCTCCTCCTCTACATTGGTACGGTTCTTCCGCCTCGCCCTTCTCATGGCTCGTTCCCACTCTTTGATGCCCTCTCGACTGACGCACTTTACCAGATCGTCACCTCGTTCACGAAGTCACCTCACCCGTAAGCCCAAGCCCAAGCCCACCCCCCTGGCTGCGAAATCGTCAACCCCAATGACGTCGTGTCGCCCAGACCCACTAACCCTATGCCGCAGCAAGCCTTCGAGGGCCTGAAAAACGCTGGTCGCCAAGTCCGACGACCCGATTGCACTCTTGCGACCACTGACCACGTAAGTCGGCATCCTGCTGCGCGCAGCGTTGGCGCTGGCGCTGGCGCTGCGGCCCCGTCGGAGAATTTCAAGGTACTAACAAACCGGCTCGGCAGAATGTCCCCACGACGTCCCGCGCCTCCATGAAGGACATCGGTTCCTTCATCGACGAGGATGACTCCAGACTCCAGTGCATGACCCTCGAGGAGAATGTCAAGGACTTCGGCCTCACCTACTTCGGTCTCGGCGACAAGCGCCAGGGTATCGTTCACGTCATCGGCCCTGAGCAGGGCTTCACCCTTCCCGGTACCACCGTCGTCTGCGGCGACAGCCACACGTCCACCCATGGCGCTTTCGGCGCTCTCGCTTTCGGCATCGGCACCAGCGAGGTCGAGCACGTTCTGGCCACCCAGTGCCTCATCACAAGGCGGAGCAAGAACATGCGCATTCAGGTTGATGGCGAGCTGGCCCCTGGCGTCAGCTCAAAGGATGTCGTCCTGCACGCCATCGGCATGATTGGAACTGCTGGCGGCAACGGTGCCGTCATTGAGTTCTGCGGCTCCGTCATCCGCAGCTTGAGCATGGAGGCGAGGATGTCCATCTGCAACATGTCCATCGAGGGTGGTGCGCGAGCCGGCATGGTCGCCCCTGACGAAATCACGTTTGAGTACCTCAAGGGCCGCCCCCTGGCCCCCAAGGTTGGGTCGGAGGAATGGGAGCGCGCCACCACGTACTGGAAGTCGCTTCAGTCGGATGCTGGTGCTGTTTACGACATTGACGTGTTCATTGACGCCAAGGACATCATTCCTACCGTCACCTGGGGCACCAGCCCTGAGGATGTCATTCCCATCACTGGCACCGTCCCCGACCCCGAGACCTTTGCGACTGAGGCAAAGAAGGCTGGCGGCCGCAGAAAGCTCGAGTACATGGGACTCATCGCGGGTACGCCCATGGATCAGATTGTTGTCGACAAGGTCTTCATTGGCTCGTGCACAAACTCGCGCATCGAGGATCTGCGCGCCGCGGCACATGTCGTCAAGGGCAAGAAGATTGCGGCCAATATCAAGCGCGCCATGATCGTTCCTGGCTCCGGTCTTGTCAAGGACCAGGCTGAGGCGGAGGGCCTGGACAAGATCTTCATCGACGCTGGTTTCGAGTGGAGAGAGGCTGGTTGCTCCATGTGCCTCGGCATGAACCCCGATATCCTGTCGCCTCAGGAGCGCTGTGCCAGTACCTCGAACAGGAACTTTGAGGGTCGCCAGGGTGCTGGTGGCAGGACGCACCTGATGTCTCCCGTCATGGCCGCTGCTGCCGCCATTGTCGGCACCCTCACCGACGTGAGGAAACTATCTGAATACAAGACCAGCCCCCATGTCCAGGCCGCCATCGCGCCTGTTGCCAAGCCCCACGTCGACGAGCGTGTTGAGGAGAGTGCCGCGGAAAGGGACCTCATCGGCGACCAGCCCGAAGACAGCCAACCTCATGTCAACTCGTCTGTGTCTTCCAGCTCCGCTGGTCTCCCCAAGTTCACCACCCTCAAGGGTATCGCCGCGCCTCTGGATATGACCAACGTCGACACGGACGCCATCATCCCCAAGCAGTTCCTCAAGACAATCAAGCGTACCGGTCTCGGATCTGCTCTGTTTCACGAGCTGCGATTCAACGGTGACGGTTCCGAGAACCCCGCCTTTGTCCTGAACCAGGACCCCTACCGCCAGGCCAAGATCCTTGTCGTCACCGGTCCCAACTTTGGATGCGGTAGCTCCCGTGAGCACGCCCCTTGGGCTCTGCTCGACTTTGGCATCAAGACCATCATTGCGCCGTCGTATAGTGACATCTTCTTCAACAACACGTTCAAGAACGGCATGCTGCCCATCATCGTGTCCAACAAGGACGATCTGGAAGCCATTGCCGCTGAAGCCCGCGCCGGCCGGGACGTCGAGATTGACCTCCCCAACCAGCTTATCAAGAACGCGACTGGCTCTACGATCTGCAGCTTCGATGTCGAGGAGTTCAGGAAACACTGCCTCGTCAATGGCCTTGATGACATTGGCCTGACGATGCAGATGGACGACAAGATCAGCGAGTACGAGAGGAGAATGTCCAAGCAGACTCCGTGGTTGGATGGCACTGCCTATCTCAAGAGAAAGGGCAGGAGTAACCAGCTTGCGGCGAAGCCAGTCCCAGTTCCCAAGACCAACCGTGGCGAGACGAAGACGGAGCCCCTCGAGTGGTAAGCTGGCGTGGTGCGCAGGCGAGCGGAACTTGTCATTATGGGACGAATATTATTGCTATTTACGACGGTGTGATGGCACCAGGCGCATTATTATCGCGGGAGATTTATGACCTGGTCGATTCCTTTTCAGGGCGACCTAGGTTTGGGTATCACAGTCGTCCTGATTCTGGACAACTACGACTTGGAAAAAAGTAGGGGGCCGCTGCGGCCATTCATAGCAAAGATATCATTTTCGCAAGACTTGTCAAGCACGCTTTTCTCACCCACTCCTTGTGTTGCCATGTGATGCAACTTGAACCGCTTCAATCCCGCAAGATGCCCACGTGGACCGCGAACCCGGAGCCGACGGCCAGTCCTTCGCCCACAACTTGATCTGGCACCCGCCAAACGCGAAACCGCCGATGGAAAGCCTTCAGCCACGCCTCGAACACCTCGGGCGACCGCAGCTGCTGCGCAACAATACAGAGCGTAGGTTCCCTTGCTGTCGCGCCCTCATCCCTCCTCCGCAAAAGACACGCGTCGACAGACGTCTGCACGAGCGGCTCGACCAGCGCATCGTTGTAGATGCAATCACACGCCACGACGAGATCAAAGCTCCGCACCTCGTCGCTCCGCGTCAGCGCCGGCGTCACCTCGTCGAGCTCCCAGTCGAGCGGCTCGAAGAAGACGTCGTGCCCCGCCGGCGCCGGCGCAGCCTGCAGAGAAGAAGCCGGAGCCCGGCCCTTGGCGCCACGTCGCGCGGGCGCCCTCGCCCTCTCGTTGGCGTCGAGGTTCCGCTGCACGAGGCGCGCCACGTACGGCTGGTCCGTCAGCACGTAGCGGCCCACGCGGGGCCCGCAGGCGAGGCCCGTCAGGGCGCTGATGCCGCAGCCGAGCTCGAGCACCGCGGCGTCGCTGCTGCTCGCCGGGCCCGTCGGTGCCGGCGGCAGAAACGGGCAGTCCGGGGACGACAGGAAGGCGGCGAAGAGCGGGGTGATCTTCCAGAGGACGGCGCCCGTCGTGCCGCCTGCGCGCGAGGAGGCGAGGAGGGTCGGCGACTGGTGGATCGTAAAGTCGCGGTTCGGCGGCAGCGTGATGTCCAGCTCTGCGGCGCGGGGGTCGATGAAGCCCAGGTTTGCCGAGGGGATGGGGGCGGAGAAGAGGGCGAAGGTTTCTGTGCATGGTTTCTGTCTTTAGCACGGGGTTCGGAACAGGGGCTTCATGTTCATGGTGGTGGGCCACTGTGGTTGCAGCTCGTATTACCTTCTTCGGGGTCGAGGACTTCGTCCTCAAACGATTCGAGGAGCTCCAGCACGCTCATTTTGCTGTCTGTTCAAGTGCGCGCGGGCAGATAGATGAATGGCCGAACCAAATCAAGTAGCACTGCGTTTGTTATTGATATCCAGAGGCCACATCGACCGGTGAGTTGGCCATATATCCCTTGAAAATGGAACAAACACCCACACACAGTCCAAATGAAGTCGAGTTGAGCCGAGTTTTCCACAGCAATACAGTGTTATTTGGCAACAATTGATCACTGTGCCCGAACCACTGTCAAATCATTCCCTCCCGTACTATTTGTTCCATCCAATTCATTCCTGCTCCAAAGCAGATCTATCATGCTCATGCCTTTGAACTAGCTGTGCGCCGATGCACCCCATATCTACGCTAATAATGCCATGCCTAAATCAGTCATTACGTTCCATCATTCAGTTCACCATGTGTCTGGTCCAAAATGCGCGCCTTCGGGCAGCGTCTTGTAAGGGCACGCTTGCCAATCGCAGCCCTGCTTGTAAACCTCCGTCCCCCACCAGCTAAAGCCCTTCATCAGACCCGGGTACACAAAGCCAAAGAAGACAATGACGATGCCGAATGCCAATCCTGAGTCGAGCGCCGCGCTCATCGTCATGGTGTACTTGGCCCACCACGCGCTCGCGCGGCGTTTGATGTGGTAGTTGAAGACGTAGCACACCAGCACCCACACCGAGAAATTGAGTCCTGTGGCCGGCGGGATCCAGGACATCGTGCCGAACACCAGCGGCAGGTTGATTTTTCGCACAATGCTGTTCTTCTTGTTGCGACTGTACAGCCAGAGTGGGATTGGCAGAACGGCCCCCAACAGGAAGAACCAGACGAGGCTCCTGTAGGTCGCGTTGGGTCCGAAGAACTCGCCGGGCCCGACAACGCCCCATAGGATTGAGCCGTTGAAGTGAACACGAGCGAACGGGCAGGTGAATCCATTGACCGCATCCTTGGTGCAAATGCCGGGAACGTTGGCGAACATCCAATTGAGCACAAAGATCTGTGTAATCGACGAGACCACAGTCGCCGCCATCTGAACGGAGAACATGATGCGAGGAGGGATCTTCATATAGTGGCCGAGTTTGAGGTCCGAGGCAAACTTGATACCCTGCGCTGAGGAGATGTAGCCGTATGTCACGAACACCATGTTCGCAATAGGTCGTCCAGGGAAGACAGCACCACAGATCAGCTGGCAAATGAGATAAATGCTGCTATGCTGGTTCGTCACTGCCATGATGATGCCGTTGGGAATAAAGAAGACAGCACAGACGCCCAATGCAAGTAGCAATCCATACCATGGCAGGTGAATCGGGTAGCTGCGAGCAAGCAAAGTTAGTGGAATGAATCCGTTGCATGGCGTTGTACGTACTATTCAACAACAAATATTCCTATCGCCAACATGGAAACGAATGTCATCAGGTACCACGAAATCGGGGCATCTTTGTACCGTCTCATCAGTCGGCTGTGCACATCCTCCTTGAAGAGATGGCTGTCTGAATTTGTGGATGCCCTTGACAGGCCCGGCGTTGCTGGGCTGTCTGGTGCGGCAGAATCGGGTTCGTTTGAAACAGGCTGGTAGGTTGGTTTGCCTTCCTCCCGCGCCTCCTGCCAAGACGTCTTCCACGTCTCCCACATGTCTTTTCCATGCCAGCAAGCCGTATGCGTGAGCAACGCAGCTAGACCTGCGAATTGTACTCCATAACTCAGCACGTAGGTGATGGGCAGGAAGACACGGCTGTAGTTCGTGTAGGCCTCCTTGTCGAAAAGGAACTCGTCAGTCAGGATGCGGCTGACGTTGTAGACGTTTCCCGTATTGTCGAACACAGCCGACGACAAGATTGGCATGTAAGAAGAGTAGAACATGTTTCCGTAGTAAGCAATCGGTGCGACGAACCACATGACGACGAACATGCCGCCAATGACATTCATTGCCGCCCAAAATGGCACCAAAAGCGGAGAGCCAATGTAAGAGATCTGTGCCCAATCGAAAGTCAGGGGGAAGAGGCCAAGTCCGGACGACACTCCGAAAAGGTTTGCAATGACGACGTTCTTCGGTGCAAACCAGGTGATGACGTTGAAGTAGCTGAGGCACGGCATGAGGAGTCCCGGCAGGAAGTAGAAGACGAAGGCTCCCGTCCACACAATGTAGAAGAATTTCCATCGGGACATGCGCCAGCCATTGGCCGGTTTGTTCTCCTCTTTATGGAGAGTGCCAAACATCGCAGCAGACATGAGCGTACCTGGCCAAATCATGCCGCCAGGACGAACCAGAAAGCGGCGCGTAATGCCTGCAAAGGCGTAGCCCAGAATCTGGGTCGACAGGATGAGCAACAGTTGATACGGAATGGTAGCCTCTTGGTTGTAGAACCTCGACTGCTCGACGATGACGTCTGTCGCGAAGGCGAAACCAAAGGAGACGTTGCTGCTCACGTAGACACATGTGTGCTCCTTCTCGTTCCATCTTCCCTGGGCCAGCCAGAGGCGGAAACGGCTCCATCGTGTTCGCCTTTCGGGGTGGTCGTCCAAGATGTGGTCGAGAACGCCATCCTCGAAGACTTCACGGGGGTCCGCGGGAGACTTGAGCATGTAATCCCACATGAGGCCAAGAGGGTGTACTAATAACAGGGCAATAACAGGTGTAATCGAGACGCTCGGGTATCGTAGCGAGAAGAAGAGATTTGTTGAAGAGCCGAGAACGGAAAACAGTGTAGAAAGAATCCACATCCTTGGGGTGTTGATCGACAGCGTCGTGTTGTCTACGGGAGAGACAGAAGCGCGAACGGCATCATACGGCGAATCATCGACGGGTTCTGGACTATGCTCGCTCCCCGAGTCATCCACACGGTAGTCATCGTCGTCCTCATCCTCGTTGTCCTCGGAAGCTTTCACCTTGTCACGCAGCACATGGCTCGGGCAGACTCGACTGCGCGAGTCCAAACCGTCCGTCAGGACCAGTAGCCA